GAAGCAGGACTTGACTGCAGTTTATTCCGACCGCCTGGATCAGGCGACTGTGAGTTCATATATGCAGATCATGCCCTACACTTGCGGCGACGCCATAATCGCAATGGAGGAAAGAAAAACGCATGCCATGGCTACAGTGTTCTAGTTCTAGAACACTGTACTATGCCCATGGAAGAAGGAAAAAATGAGTTTTTCTTTCTTCTGTGATTCATTCCCTCACGCGCTCTGCTCTTGCGGATTTCCTGCGAAACGTCATTCCGGAAATGACGTCAACTTGGCGTACTCATGTACACGCGTAATCGTGCTACTCGTGTGGTCGTTCACGGGCTTTCGATTTTGAACGGCAGCGCTAGCTCTTTTTGCCGGGCGTCAACACGCAATCCGGCCAGCTCGACTGAGGCTGACGCTAAGCAGCGCGTACTGACGCGTTCCAACGCGTATATGTGGTTGGGGCTAGTACAGACTTTGGCATCTTCTCCTTGCCACCCATCGCCTTCCCTTGTTTCATTGACACTGCGCTCTCGAGGATGAAGTGAGGGACAAAATGCGTATTCTGTGCAATAACTCTGCGAAGAAAAAACAAAAAAACACACAACAAACGCTTAGACAAGAGATTTGCGAAGAAGCAGTATCATTCTGACCTAAATTAATACCTTAAAAAAGTGTTGGGAAACCCACATAAATGTTAGAAGGCGGTGCATGGGGGGAGGGGGGGGGGACGTAGCTGCTTTTACCTGAAATTTCGGGTAATACTTTTTTCGCATGTGAACAATAACCTACACAGCTTCATTACCACGTTCTGGTAGCAGCATTCAGGTTTGCAAGCCAATTTATCAAGTTAAAAACTTCTGAATACTATTTCCGGTCATGTCATGTGATTGAAAGGAAAGCTACCAGTACTGAATGCCCTCTCTTCCTCCCCCCTGCAGATGCACTGATCTGCAATTAGGTCTGCAGACCCTTTTGAAAACGCGCTTAGAAAATGCGAGCATGTTATTCGGCAAGAGATGCATCGCATAGCAGTAGGGTGAGAAGGCACATGTATGCACAAAGGCACAAGGGAGAATAAATTATAATAGTGGTCAGTAAGCACCACCGCGGTGGTCTAGTGGCTAAGGTACTCAGCTGCTGACCCGCAGGTCGCGGGATCGAATCCCATCTGCGGCGGTTGCATTTCCGAAGGAGGCGGAAATGTAGACCCATGTGGTCTGATTTGGGTGCACGCTAAAGAACCCCAGGTGGTTGAAATTGCCAAAGCCCTTCACTACGGCGTCTCTCATAATCATGTGGTGGTTTTAGGTCGTTAAACTCCACATGTCAATCAATCAGTGGTCAGTAAGAGGAATTTACGTTCATTTCGTCCACTCATAAGGGAGCGTGGTGCAGTTTCGAAAATGCAGGGACCATACATTGTAAAAAGTGAGCATTTTTGACAGAGATCTATCTGGCTGCGTAAAAATGTACGTATAAACAGACTTTCCAGCCACGGTTAGTCTATATTTTTTAATATAAAATTAAAACTGTCTCTGCATTTCGAGACCCATTTGGTCTATTCTTCAGGCGGTGACTCCTTTGGGATGGGTCTCGAAACGTCGGGCCAGTTTTACTTTTAGACTAGTAGTAGCAGGATAGTATATATTATTCGTATGGGACAAAGTGGTTCAAGTTAGGAAGAGGACACGATTTTCTATTGTCCACAAGGTAACAGTGTCACGGAGAATTAGGTCAAGGAATAAATAGAAAAAAAGGTAAATAAATCAGTTTTAAACCAATATCTGTAGTAGACAACCGAATATCAAAAATCAACAATGACCAACTGTGCTGAAGATCCAATACATTGCTCCACTACATATCATCATAACATATTTTTGTAGCGTCATGTGTCAACTTAGCCCTTTAAAGACAACTATTTCCAACACAAATTTAGTGCATAACTCTGCATTATTTCATGAAATGTGCACTTGCTTTTGAAAACTATTCATGCAACACACACAGACGGCAAATATGAAGCTTCACTTGGAATCTGAAGTGAGATGTTCTCATTTCGCACAATTTTGTGTTGACCTCTTTCCTATCTGCTTTACATAAAACATTCATGTTCTTTTCCTAAACTCTTCCTGTTTTCAGACTTGGTTCAGGTAAAGACAAAGCTTGGTGTAACAATGTTTGCTGGTACACAGTGCCAGAATGGGGAATCGCATCAAGCTGCTACGGCAGCAGCTGCTAATTCCTCTTTTTGCAAATGTTTCACAATAATTTTCCCTATCTGTTTCCTTGTAAACACTACTATTGCATATATGAACACTGCGCAAGCTTTAGAGCAGAACAGCATGCTCAATGAACTTAAACGTCATACAAGATGTATCAAATATCTGCATATAATTTTCTATTGCAGGTCTAGGCACTGCGGTGCGCAGAGCAGTTGAAGTTGGAGACCATTTGCGCGAATTTTTTCAGAAGAGTAAAGAACGCCTTCGCCGTTTATCGGAATAGCGGGATGCTATGCTGCAGCTTGAAAGGGAGCAAATGCGGATTATTCACCGTGCCGAAGCTACTATGCTTAGGATGTTTGAAAACGACGCAGAGGAGTAGTTGGGGCTAATGTCCCTCATGTAATGTCCCTATGGCACCTTTGAGGAATAAATAAATAAATAAATAAATAATGACAGCACCCTACCTTTTGAATTATAACAATGATGAAAACTTTCAAAAACAGCGAGGGCCAGCATGGATGAACAAAATTTCACAATTTTCTTTTGATCACACATCAAGCAGCTATGTGACCATGTGTTGAGGATGCAGTATTTCTATGCGCAGAATTGTAGCAACCATGAGGACATGCAGTTGCACAGGTTATACAGGAAAGGACATGCCGAAGGGCCTGAATGCCATATGAAAGAAAAAACAAGACATTTATTTAGGAAGATTACTTACTTCTTATTTATGTATCGTTGTCACAGAGTAAAACGTTTATGGGAGTGTTACAAAACACATTTAAGCATTTAGTAATTAATATCAACAAGGCACGTAGCAAGTTTCTTTCATACTATGTCAACTGCTAGGTCGTAAAAAACAAATACAGGTGCAAAATGAAAACACAACTTGTGTATACAATTTTAGCAAAAGTTTGACGAAAAAAGCTTTCATCTATAGCATTTACAATATCAGTGGCAAAGTGAATAGGCGAGGAAGAAGACACAGGCGAAACTGCTATGTGTTAAATACATAGGAGGACACGAATACCATAGACAACCATTGCCTTGAACTTTTTCAATATTGATGCATGCATTGTATACAATGATGATTGCCACTGCTGTTGACTGTCTCTGTCATGATTTCATGAACAGAGACAATATAGCAGCCCTGAAAGACTGCACATCCCACTGAGGTTTAGCTTGTTTACGGGGCTTAAAAGGTTCAAAACAAGAACTTGTTTTTACCAAAACAGAAAAACCTGCGGATATCTGTGTAGCAAAATATGTTGCACATCGAAAGAAGCTTATCAGTTTGAAAGCAACTGAACTTCATGATTACTGTCTTACACGCGAAAAGCGACTCATTAAATGTGGCCGATTCATTACTTTAAAAAAATACGCCTTTAAAATTTAAGGTAGCTGACACCCGGTCAGAAAAAGTCAAACGCGATCAGTGGAGCAACTGCTCAGTGTAATTCGCGCAAAACAGTGACCTCCCAGCCACAACCAAGTGTGAAATATTGATTACGAAACGAATACACAAGGCATGCAACTATTTTCTGTTCAGTTCATTACCAAGTTGTTGTCCTTTTGTCCATTGGATGAATAAACTGCCTTAACACAATTATTCTTGTTCATTCAGTCCAGATTTTATTATTTGTATCTAGAGGTGAGCTCAACTTATTTTTATAATGTTATGCACTGCTCTGCATAACTCTAGTATTTTTCATTTATGCATTTCTTGTGTTGTGTGTGCCACTAATTTTAGCATTTCAACATTTTGGATTTGCAGTGAATGTAGCTTCCAAGTTGATACTTTGTAGAGAGTGGTTATGCGCATCTTCGGAAAAGTGGCAAAGTACTTTCACTGGTTTACGGACGTCGTTAGGAAGGAAGTTGATTTTTCGAAGATATTCAGAACAAGTACTATGACTGAGTAGCCTCTTTCTCAAGAAAATATACCACCATAAATGTCAACTACAGATACACATATAATCATACTTGCAACACAGGAACACCTGCCGGCAAAGGAAATGTAATCTTTTAGAGTAGAATGACAAATGAACACCAACCTGCATCACCATCAAAGAAGCAACTAACAGCCATACCGCCACAACAGTTCACATGCCCAGTGGAGTTCACATATGCAAACTGAGCAGCATGTTGAATTTCCCATTCTTTGCTCGAGACTGCCAATGTGGTTCGACTTGAAAGAACAAGCTCGCCAGGTCAAGATACATCCAAGAGGGGTACACTGTCGACGATGTTGGCAAACAGCAATCGCAGGGTGATGGCTGTGACGACTATATGGCACAAGCCATGGTACGAGGCAATCGGTTGGCAATGAGGGCCTGCATTATGAAGAGGAAGTGATTAGACCCAAACTAGTAGCTTATCAAGCAAACAAAATAATTAAATGAGAACACTTCTGTAAAAAAATGCAGAAAATGGGCTGACAAAATCGGTCTGCAACATTCTATGAAAGCTGTGCCAGGACTACAGAAAGCTATGTAAGAATGCACAATCCAGCAGTGAAAAAACACAGCAGTGAGGAAACTTAAAAAAGTGCAGAGATGAAATTTGTGAAGCTTTATTGAGCTGAATGATTGGCTCCTTACTTATTAATGATGGCAAAGAATCAACGTTTTGAGCTTATTTACAGTCTCAGTTCAGTTCTTCAGCTCAATTATATTCAGTCTACCTCGTTATTTTCAAAGTGGCAATCTTCATTGAGCTAATTAATATAAATGATGCACAAAGAAACTTGTTAGTAGTTTAAAATTGCAATATAAATATGGTGCTTACCAAACAGATGGCACTCACAGCATAGTATTCCTTTCTGTCACTCCTCATCAGCTGCATTGGTGGCAAAGTAAGATGAAATTCTGCTCTTCAATTTTTTCTTCTGGCACGTGCTTATGTACCCAAAACACAATAAAAAAATTCATCCAAAACATGAAAATAAATCTATCAGCATGATTTTTGGTACAACACAGTATGCATTAGAGTTATAACTAAGGAGCAGATGTCAAAATGTTCCAAAAGACATGCCAGTTCATGATTAAAAATATAGACTGATACTTAACACAACACAATATAGCAAAAACTACATAAACGTTTCGCCAAATATGCAGTTGGCATCCTCAGTATGCCCTGGCACCAAATGAGCGGAGGTTACACAGTTTGCTGCTTGTCCCGTATGTCGCTTAGTATGCGGCCGCGGTTGTTGTCGCGCGCCAACTTGTCACACTAATGAATCAAGAATCGAGAAGATTTCTCTTGCCCCACTTTTGTTCCCGAACTAGCATTGTCTCATTATTGAAGTCGAAGGCATGTCCCCTTGTCGAACAGTGTTCGTCGAGTTTTCTCTTATATTGTGTGGCATGGGTGGCTTTTGAAATGTTTCCCTTGTTCTCTTTGAGCCCTGTTGGTCGCTTCCTACCTATTTCACTCATGCATAAGGTGTCGCATACATCATTGTTCAGCACTTGCAGTCATATAGGTGGAAAGCGTGGTTACTGAATATAACGAAGTCATTATCTGCGCAAGTTTATCAACGACACCCAGAAACACATGCAAAAGAGAACAAGAAGTGTGCCGCGTGAAAACACAAAACCCATTGTTTTTGTACCTTACGTTGAAGGTTTTTCAGACTCTGTCCACTGGGAAATAAAACAATTTTCAAGCCTCATTGTACCTTGATAAACGTGCTCTCTAAGCCCAAAGAGAGCACCCCTGCGAACGATCAAAACATGGTTGTTTACGTTTTTGTGCCATGGCTGCGACACCACATATATTGTCAAAACTGGCAGGAAGTTCTCAACGAGTTTTAATGAACACAAATAGGACATCACAAAAGCCACTCATTCTCAGACAGAACTCGTCAAACACTGCTTGAAAATGGGGCATGCCTTCGACTTCCGTAATTTGACGACACTGGCTCGGGAACAAAGAGAGGGAAGAGAAAGCTTTTCTAGTCGTGGTTAGACCGTCATGACCAGTCAGCGTGCAACAACAATCACGGCCTCCATCCGGATGAGTAGACACATACAAGACATTCAGTGAATTTGGTCACCTCCACACATTTGGTGCCAGTGCACACTAAGCATGCCACTCACATAAGAGGCGCAATGTCTGTGTATATTTGTTATATATTGTTGTGAAAATTCGGAGTACATATTATGATCACTAAGGAGCAGAGTTTTATTTCCATGTTAATTTGGCATATGTTCAAATATTTATAGAGAAAAAATTTTATTCAAACAAAAAGAAATATTTATAGACTTGCTTTCTCTCTTTGCGTACATAATTCATTCGTGAAGCAAAATAAACATTGCTGCTTAGCATTCATGCCATGTGTCAACTACTGATAATTTGCCATCGCATAATTATGCTATTGCCAGTGAACTACTTTCTTGGAAATTGTTATCTATGCGTCTCTTCTATTTGGCTACACAAACTGTGTTAATTCAAAAAGGGCAACAGTTGGCCACCAAATGTTTGGTTAGTAGTGAGCTCAACGGGTGCTGCTCACTCTACCAGATTGCTCCTTCTAAATTTAAAGCATCAAAACAAACTTGACCCAATTTCATGCATTTGCCTTAAGTAAAATTCCAAAATTTCCCAACTTTTCTAGACTAGGACAAGCTTAGTTCTTTGCTCTAGATTTTGTCCAAGCATTTGCCTTAAGTGAAATTCAAAATTTCCCAAATTTTTTAGAATTAGACAAGCTTAGTTCTTTGCTCTACATTTTGTCGTATAAGATTAAAACATTTATGTACTTCCTCGTCATGAAGACACTGTATCAGTGGCTTCGCAGAGGCATTCCCTTGAAGATCATGTTAAGCTGCAAATTCACAACAAAACATGGCTAAGTCACGTAAAATTCCTAGCCTTAATTATACTGGTATAACTTATATTAGCAGTATTTTGCCTCATGCAAGGCAAACGAGTACCTGCATTTTACGACATTTCGTTTAAAACATACCATCTTTCTGACACTAAATTATTCTAATATGCATCACTCTATAATGCCTCTGTCGGAGCTTAAAGCACACTGAACAAAAACAGGAAAAAAAACAAAAGCATCAAAATTCCACTTGAGAGCAGCTTCTGTTTCGATAAACCATTTACTTTCAGTGTTTCTCAAGATCTGCCTGTATTTTTCATGCAATGCTAGCAGGCCGCAGCTGCACACCAGTTTTTGTGAGGCAGCACCTCGATGGGCATGATGTCAGACGTCCCTGCGGCATGATGTCATATGTCCTGTCCTGCTACTTCCCTTTCTCCACTTCTGCTTTACATCATGCACTCTTCCTTCAACAGAAGTCCTGCTACTTCCCTTTCTCCACTTCTGCTTTACATCATGCACTCTTCCTTCAACAGAAGTGCTAAGATGGCCCCCTTTTCAGGGATTTACTCTCAAACCGGTAGCATTATTCACTGCCGGTGCTATTGATATTCGTTCCAGGAACCCTCCAGGGGGAATGTAGCGAGTTAAGAGACACGAGCGATAGCTGGCAAGGTTTGCAAACCCTTTTCAGGGGATGTTAAATGTTACCTCCTCTACTTGCTCACGTGGCCACTAGATGTGGCAGTTCGTAAAAAACACCGGAGCAGATGACATGTGCTCCGGCGTTCCCTTTAACAGTGGACCCCTCTGCACATATACTGTGGGTGTTGCGCATGGTTCGCTTGATACTTATTTCGCTACAAACAGAAGCTACCCGGAAAACTACCTTTTACAGCTTCCTGGCTATCATTACACAAAGCCCCTTTTCCATGCCTTGCAGTGAGTGAAAAAATGGTGATTTCATGGGCATAAACTGCGGAAGGAATTTGCCAGCCAAAACATTACTAGCCTCATGCATCGCTAAACAGATGTATCGGTTGCCACTTTCTTTTTCTTTCTCACATAGCTACTTGAAACCTTCAAGAATATGAATAGGGATGAGTGTGACATCGGTCATGATGCGGTGCAACCGTGGTGAGTTGACAGAGGGCTTGATGAGGTCAAGCAGGGCAACATTCATACTTAGAGGGCGGTCTCACAATTACATACGCGAATTCATAGCTCAAATTTAGAGAAATATTCGAGTCGATTCTTTCAGCTATAAAACGAGTTCTGCTCGCACCGCAATTAATTTGTAAAACAGATGCAAATTGCACTCACTGAATTTTGAACTATGAATCTGATGATCTCATATTCATGCATATTTCTAATCTGAAAAGTGGGCATTTATTTGATATGCCTTAGGCAGTATTCAATTAAGTGTGAAAAGTTAATATTAGTCGCACGCTCCTACAAAACAAACAGCGCAGTACACAAGGTCAGTGAAGTTTAGAGGCCTTTTCAAGCACGAAAAGTGCCTGTTGCTGTCTGCTCTCTTAGGTCACCAGCTTTAGGTCACCCAAATTTTAGAAATCATGACGTCATCAAGTGACATTACCGCTTGGTCTAAATTGGGCAGATCCCCGAGAAACTGACACACCGCATGAGGTGCAGAAATCTTTTGGCAAGGGAATATAGTCGACCAAGAAGCAGAACAGGATGGCTGCTTCGGCATTCAAATCGTCTAAGACAAACGCATATCGGATCTTGGGAGCCTTCTTAAGACAAAAATTTCACACCCCACCTGTGCACTTACTGGGCTTTCACGAATGCGACGGTAGACCTGTCAGAATCTCATCAGTTTGTGCACATTACTGCAGATATTTACATTCCAGTTTTAGAACAGCAGCACCATGGTGTGGTATACGAAGTGGTCACACGTAAACAATCGCTTCATTAGTGCTAACCTATGTGAGTACTCATATCACTAGCATGTGATACGGTTATCGCGAAAACTCACGCCCAGTCTTTTTTTGAAAGGTCCCGATTCTTTTAATTCAAACTTGAAATTGCCTCCCCCTCTCCCACCCTCTTTGTGCTTTTACCATCTTGAGTGTCTGGACAGCACGCAAGCTGATTGGGACCCCTGGCTTAGCGAGTGGAAGCTGCAAAACCAGTCCAGGTATTGCATTTGTCATTTGGGAGGTGCAGGAGAATAGGCGGCTCACACTTTGTGACTGTACCCAGTGAGCTCTCGAAGAAGTTCATTCGAGAAATACGCTTGAGTGCGTCTACGTTTCCTGTGAATGTCTCATTTTTTAGGTGTCTATGGTGGCCGATGCTGACAGTAAATGCGTTATGTGCATCTATGGTAGAGAAGGGGTAGAGACACTTGACGTTTGTTTTGCTGCGCTTGGCTGGGAACGCTGTAGAGCCCACGCAGCCATCCGCAGTTTTTGCTGCAGTCAGGGAAATATGACTCATTAACTCACAGTTTATAATATAGTTACTGCACGCATAAAAGTTTGTTTTCCACCAACTTGCCCGCAAACTACCCTCAAACTTGCCAGTGGGTTCTTTGAAAGTCTGAAAAGCACCTCTATGAAGGTCACCGAAAACGAAAGTAGGGGTCCGTAGCCTCTTAAGTTATTCGGCATGCACTGGTAAAAAAATCTTGGGGGCTTGTATTTTCCAGGAATGATTTGCAGACCATTCAAGCTACCTCTTAGTTAGCAACTGTCGCCTCTCTGTGCAACGTTTATAGAGGCTGCTTGGCCTTGTGACCTCCCGTCCTCTCCCAAGAAAAAAAAAACCCCAACGCGCGTCATGTCACCACCCCTTCACATGTGCAGACTATCTCTCGAAAAAGGTCCAATGTTATACTACCCTTCAACCAGTGTCACGTGAAACACACTGCCAAACTTTCCTCACCTCCCCGCAAAATAAAGACCACCACGTAATGTCCTACGAGTCTCAAAAATAGAAGGCAAGGTCAAGTTCTTTATGTACTTGAGAAACGCTTCTGTAGTCCCCAAGCTACAAAGGCGAGCAGCCAAGCAGGTCCTGGAATTCGAGGCACAATTG